ATAAACGTTGAAAAAAAAAAAAAACATTTAAAAAAAAAGCATGTATTTTGGGAAGGAGGTTACATGATTGTCTACGTAGAAAATTCCAAAGAGTCAACAACAACAATAAAACCTCCTGGAACAAATAAGCAATAGTAGCAAGGCTTCAGGATACAAGGCTAATATACCAAAGTCAACCACTTCCCTAGATACCAGCAATGAACACATGGAATTTGAAATTAAAAACAATACCATATACATTAGCACAAAAAATATTTAGGTATAATTTAACAAAATATGTACAAGTTATATAAAAGGAAAACTATAAAACATGTTACACAAATCAAAAAAGAACTAATTAAATGGAGAGGTATTTCCATGCTCATTGATTCAATATTGTCAAGATACCAGTTTTTCCCTAATTGATCTATTCAAGGCAATCCAATTCAAAATCCCATCAAGTTATTTTGTGGATATCAACAGATTCTAAAGTTTGTATGGAGAGATAAAAGACACAGAATAGCTAACACAATATTGAAAGAGGACTGACACTATCTGACTTCAAGACTTACTGTAAAGCTACAGTAATCAGGACAGTGTGACACCCGCAAAAGAACAAAAAGATCAATAAAACCGAGGAGACCCCCATAAATACACGCAATCAACCTTTAACAAAGGAGCAAAGGCAATACAATGTGAGCAAAGTTAGTCTCAATAAATGGTACTGGAGGGCACCTGGATGGCTCAGTCAGTTGAGCGTCCGACTTCAGCTCAGGTCATGATCTCACAGTTTGTGAGTTCGGGTCCCTCATCGGGCTCTGTGCTGACAGCTCAGAGCCTGGAGCCTGCTTCAGATTCTGTATGTCCGTCTCTCTCTTCCCCTCCCCCACACGTGCTCTGTCTCTCTCTCTGCCTCTCAAAAATAAAGAAAACTAACTAAATAAATAAATGGTACTGGAACATCCACATGGAAAAAAAAATCTAAACACAGACTTTCCACCCTTCACAAAAACTAACTGAAAATGGAGTATAGATCTAACTGTAAAGTGCAAAACTATAAAACTCCGGGAAGATACCATAAGAGAAAATCTAGATGACCTTGGATGTGGCAATGACTTCTTAGATACAACACTAAGGGCATAATCCATGACAGAAAGAGTTGATAAGCTGAACTTACTGAATTTTTTAACTATTGTTCTGTGAAAGACACTGCCAATAGAATGAGAAGACAAGCCACAGACTAGGAGAAAATATTTGCAAAACATCTGTCTGATAAAGGACTGTTATCTAAAGTACATGAAGAACCATTAAAAATCAACAATAAAAAAAATGAAAATCCATTTAAAAAAAGGCAAAAGACCTTAACAGACATCATGAAAGGATATGTTGTTGATGGGGAAAAAGATGCTCTATGTCAAATGTCACTGGAGAACTGCAAATTAAAACGAGTGAAATACTACTCTATAGCTATTAGAGTAGCCAAAATACAAAACACTGACAACACCAAAGGCTGACAAGAACACAGAGTAATAGGAACTCATTCATTGCTGGTGACAATGCAAAATGATACAGCCACTTTGGAAAACAGTTTGGCAGTTTCTTACAAAACTGAATACACTCTTTACCATCCAATCCAGCAATTGCACTCCTTAGTCTCTATCCAAAGGAGTTTAAAACTTGTATCCCCACAAAAACATGCACACGAATGTTTGTAGCACACTTACTCCTAATTATAAAACTTAGAAGCAACTAAGAGGTCTTTCAGTGGGCAAACTGTGGTACATCTAGACAATGGATTACTCAGCACTACAAATAAATGAGCTATCATGCCATGAAAAGACATGAAGGAACCTTAAATGCATAATAGTGCTAAGTGAAAGATGTCAATCTGAAAAAGCTCCATACTGTATGTTTCCAATTACACGACATTCTGAAAAAGGCAAAACTACGGAGATGATAAAAAGATCAGTGGTTTCTGGGGGTTAGAAGGGAGGAAGGGATGAGAAGAAAGAACACCAAGGATTTTCAGGGCTGTGAAACTACTCTGTGACCTTACAGTGGTGGATACATGTCATTATACATCTGTCAAAACCCAGAAACTGTACCACAAACTCCAAGAGTTAATCCTAATATAAATGATAGATTTCAGGTGATAATGATGCATGGATGTAGGTCCATCAGCTGTAACAAACACACTGCCCCAGTGGAGACGTTGGTAGTCGTGGAGGCTGTGCACGTGTGAGGGCCAGGGAATGCATTGGACATCTCCGTACTTTCCTCTCCATTTTTCTATAAACCTAAAACCGCTCTAAAAATAAAGTCTCTGTTTTTCAGTTCAAAAAAAAAACAGGGGGAATGAATGACACAACCAAAACTCAGGAGAGGGTGACAGAAGGTGATGGGTTGCAGATGTAAACAAAGGGCTTCTAGGAATCTGGTTAGTTCTTAAGCCGAGTGACAGATCCCCAAATGAATCAGTGATGACTTTTCAGAGTCCCTGGATTTACCGCCCCTGGTGCTGACCATCGAGATAACAGCTTTTCCTTGTTTAAACCCCAATTTGAGTTGTGCTTTCTGTTATTCCCAGTTAGAATCACCCAAACTGGTAGTGTCTTAATTTGGATGCAGTACAACTGGGATCTGATTTAGCATGTCAACATTTAATCCTATTCTGTTTGTCTAAGCAGATCATTAAAACTTTACATTAGTTACCCTCCAACTATAAAAAAAGATATGTTTGAGGGAAATAAAGAAACTGTAATTAAAACAACTCAGTATTTTTCCAGCCCTAAAACGTATCTCCCTTGAAAACATTCTGATTAAGCATGTGGGATACCAAGGACAATCAAGACTTTTTAAAAAATCTATAAATCACCAAAGAGATAAGGCATCAGGTTTGTACTCTTGCCCTCCGTGGGGAGCGGCTTAATCTGGCTGGAAGATCACACATTTCCCATTGGAGCTACAGGCTAGAGGTCAGACCACAGGGCTTAATTCAGCTACCACAGGAGTTCTTAAAAGGAGAGCAAACAAGGAAATGAGATTTTGTTCAGAAAGGGGCATGGTCTCTGCTGTTTTGACCAGAGAACTAAAGAACAATGGTTTCTCCACAGACAAGTCCTATACTAGAAATTGTGCCCTGCTTAGGAAATCACCTCCATTCCACCTACTTGCATAGACAAAAAAAAGGGGTGGGGCAATAGAGGGACATACATGGGCACACACCATTCGTTCTACCTACCAGACACTATGAGCTAAGCCCTTCACCTGCATGGCTCTATTTAATCCTCAAAACAACCCTGCAGGGGCACCTGGGTGACTCAGTCAGTTAAGCGTCTGATTCTTGACTTCGGATCAGGTCATGATCTCTCTTGTGAGATCGAGACCCACATCAGGCTCTGCACTGACAGTGTGGAGCCTGCTTGGGATTCTTTGTTTCCTCTCTCTCTGCCCCTCCCCTACTCATGCACGTACTCTCTCGCTCTCTCTCTCTCTCAAAAATAAATCAACGTAAGGGGAAGAAAAACCTGCAAAAGCAAGTCTGCTCATCTCCTAAGATGAAGCTATGGAGAGGTTTAGTAAGCTGCCAAAGGCTGCCCACTAGTGGTTCATGGAGCTGAGATTCACATCCATGTCTGTCTGATTCTAAAGCTCGTATTCGTTTCTTTATTATCATACACAAGAACCACAAAGAATACCACAGGACAACTCAGTCTTGGAGCATTACCTCTTTGCAGGGACTCAAAGGCTGCCCCTGCACCCCCGCATCTCTTACGCGCTGTTAAGTCCAGTGCTGGCCACACCATGAAGATGCAGACCCAGCCAAGCTTAGCAGGATTCCATGATGAAAAGGGATCCCTACCATCCTCGGCTCCCAGACCAAAAAGCCTGGCCCTCACATCCACCAGCCACTTCACACATGCATCATCTTGGCCACAAGAGGAACAAGGTTGAAAAACCAAAAAAAAAAAAAAAAAAAAAAAAAAAGAGCGTTTGCTCAAGCAACTACACCCCGTCTGCCCCCGGTCCAGCTTCACTCTGAAGCTGACTCTTGATGCTCGTTCTCCCGACAGTCATTTCCACAATTACCTAAGGTCCAACAAGAGACAGCCCTCAGGAGAGGGGCGCTGCTGTAGATGGCGTGCATGTACATGAGGTGAACCATCAGCTCTGCCAGCCACCAATAGCAGAGGAGGCGACCCAGCCCCAGGGCAAAGGCCGAAAGGCTGGACTTCAGCGAGCAGTACTCTTGCTGCTGCATCTAAAGTAAAAACAAAAGAAGTCATTAGATTGCGTGTGGACTGTTTGCATCTTTCAAATAGTCCCCTAGACAATGTTTCTAGCATACTTCTCACAAATTTTATTCATATATCTACTAAAAGAGGATTGGTTTAGTTATTCATTGTTCTTAGGTGAAAAAGTCACACCCAAGACCGAAAACTCTGTCCCAGAGTAAGAACAGGGTGGGGCCAACAAGCTAGCCAAGAACCAAGATGGGTTCTGCATCCCTCCATCCCTGGCAACAGCCCTGCAAAAAGCCAGGGTGGAGGGCAAGATCTGATACAGTCTCTCTTCCTCAGGACTCTGGAGTCTCTTTGGGCCCAGGTGTCACCGGCCTGTCTTCATCCATCACCCACCCACATGTAAGGCTGGTAAAAGTAAGGCCAAGTCAGGAAGGGGCACAGGACTGGTAAGAGAAAGGGAGAATGAGACACAGAACCTGGCAACAAGGAGAAAATGAGATGTGGGTGTGTCGTCTTACCTGAAGTTGTTTTTGAAACAGGCAGAATAAACGCAAACAGGGACACTACATGGGACAAATCTCTGGCTCGGCAGGCAGTGCAGTGTAACACTTAAGAACATGGACTTTACAGTCAGAACTGGGATCCAATTCTAGCCCAAACCACACAGCTGTGTGATCCTGAGCAGGTTACTTAATCTCCCTGAGGCTTGTTTCCCTCATATATAAAGTGAAAAAAAAAAAACTGTCATGACTAAATATGGTAACACAGAAGAGATACTGAGTATAACACCTGGCATATAAGAAGCACTGGCAAATTGGTAGTATCTGATAAGTGATGTGCCTCCTACTGCCTTTCTTCACATTCTTCCCTCATGGCATCCCAGACTACTGGCTACAGGGCAGAATTAGGACACAGTTCAGAGCCAAACACCAAAGGTAAGAGAAAGAAGTTCTTATTGTTCAGAGTCACCGACAAACTACTGAGCTCACTCAATATGTGTGGACATATTGAGTCAAAGTAGCCAGGCTCTGGGTCTTGCTTGCCCCATTGCCTGCTGCTTAGGGACGCCCAATAGTTTAAAATACATAATAGATGCTGAAAGGCAGAAGCATCTTGTAAAATTTGCGTGAAGTCCATCAATTTCAGACTTACACCACTAGACAAACGTACAAAAACAAGAGAGAGCAGGTCAATTTCTGGATCTTGCTCTGACAAGATTTTATTAGACTGAAGCCTGCTATGTAATACAGAGGTGAATTTAATGCATAAATGATGAAGTAGAATCTGCAAACATTCGCTGGCAGAAGAAATGGGCTTGATTTAGCTTTTGACGGTTTGGGCTCAAGACACCACACAAACAGGTAAGGCCCATTCTTAGGGCCTCTTTGGCTTCCAGGCTCCTTGAACATCAAAGGCACAAGGAGTCCCGCTACAGTCAGGAGGAGTGAGAGGCAGTGCCCTCAGAGAGGAGGGAGAACCTGCACACCAGGGTGGGTATTTTTATTCCACTTTGACAATGCATTCTACCACTTCCGCAAACTGTCCTCCCACAGCAAGAAGCCAGCTGAAGAAATTCTGGCTGCCTCAGGAGCATTACAATAACCTGCACGAATGGTGTGCTCCCTTTCACCATCTGCTTGGGTAGCTGCACCAAGGAAAGCTCATTGGTTTAATATTTTCCATGTAAATTGATCAAACCAACAGGAATTTCCTTTTTCCATTACCTGTCCACAGATGGCCTTAGAAAGGTATTTTGCCGAGCCATTCCAACCTCCCTTGTTAGAACCAACAGTAACTGCTGGGAGGGATCTACCAGGTCACCTGGGAAGAGTTTTCCAGGAAGGAACACTGGGCATATGAGGGCTTTGCAGACCCATACAGATCACAGCCGAATGCAACCACAGCTGAACTATGTGACCCAATGCACGTCCCTTACCAGGCATAAACTGAGGGTGGTTTTCATTTGAATGCATACCATAAGTGTGCATGCTCTCCAAGACTGCATAAAGTCTGCCGCAATGGATCTGTAGGCCAATGGATGGATAAAACTCCAATGCAGAAACGCCTACCTGCCCAATCATTCATGTCTACATTATTGAATTGAGAAGAAAAGGAAATAACTCAAATGTCCAAGAGTAGGAGGTTGGTAAAATGCATGAGTGCACCTCAATATATTATGTAGCCGTTAAACAATTTTTTTCAATGTGTATAAATAATGAAAGACTGGAAAGATACATACCAAAATGGCGACAGTGACTGTACTCTTTTTGGTAGGATTTTTGGGTTGCTTTTAACAATTGGTTATTTTTATTATCAAGGGGAAAAGTAATGGAACTTCACGATATTGTGAAGACTTTGGTCCTCTCTGCTTATGACCAAAGTAGAGGCAAGGTCCTCTACTTCTTCACCTTTCTAAAAACCATCTAGCTTCAGGATCTCCCCTGGGCAGCCCGAAATCCTCTATGGGTAAGTATTCTCTCTCTCTCCTACACTAGACCCATGTTTATTTCTCAACTTCCCACCTTGCTTGTTGATTTCTCAACTTCCCACCTTGCTTGTTGCTCAGTACCTATGTACTGAGTTCCTCTTTGTTCATTCTTTTCCTGCTCTCTAAAGCAAATTCATTTTGATCTAATTACCATCAGCAATTGAGGAAACAATTATGAACATAGTGTCCATTGGTCTGTGGAGGCTGGAAGAAGAGTTCAACTCAAGGCAATCAGCAGAGCTAAGACAGGAAGAGGCACCTACACCATTCCAGAGCACAGGTGGGCCTTTCTTGGTGCCACACTCTTGGAGGGAAGCAAGTCCCCGGCTGAATGTGATAATGGCCTCAAAAGCATTGTTGACAGAACACAATCTTCAAACAACCAAATGTCCCCAGATTCTAAAAAAGCAGCTCTCTGCATGTGGCCTGTAGGCCCCTAAGCGCAAGCCTACCCTAGCACAGGTCCCCTGAAGACCAGCCCCGCACCTGAGGTCTCAGAGCATCACTAGGGGTGCAGCCCCATCCCACAGAGCCCCCCCCCCCACCACCAGCCAGGCAGTCAGGAAAACATGTCTACCTAATCACCTCTTAGCGCCAGGCAATCACTGTTCAAGGTCAGTTCAGAGGACTGCCTTCGCTTCCCCAAACAATGTGCAGTCTAAAATGACACAAATATCTATAATTAAGGAGAAACATGAGGTGCATTTTGTGGCTGATTGGCTTCCCAATAATGGCTTACCTATTCTCCTCAGGGCAAAACTTCTCTACCCGGTTTAATAAGGTATAATTACGTGTCACCACTGGACCAGAAGGGCTGGACTCTTCTCTGCAATGCCCCCTTTTTTGATGCCAGATGCCTCCTCATTCCGAGTAACAGAAATGTCAATTCCTTAATCGTACAAGTGAATACAGGAGAAGGAAAACAATCCAGTTTCCTTCTATTCGCTTGTACTTAAAAAAAAAGTTATTCATCTTTCTTTAGAATCATATGATTGCAGTCCATTTGTAACTTCAATCTAGTTGACTCCCTTTTAAAAAAAATCAGCATTTGTCCCTTGCCGATCCAGCAGGAATAAAAGACATGCCATACACAGCTCCCCTAATGAGCAGGGCTGCTCTCTTGCCTGTGTGCGAGCATTTCATTTCAGAAATCTCAAACCTCGGGGGGTGCCAACCATAAGACCATTGGAAACCACTATCAATGGGAATTTTTAGTTAAGACTCCACTAAAAAATACAAATTAACTCATCTGCCAAATGCATTTTAAAACATGTTATATTTTAAAACCTCATTTCATGCAAATTGCATAAAAAGGAATATTGAAGCCTTTCAAAGATAGTCTGATGATTAAAGATGACAGTTCTCAAAGATGAAAGGTTCTCTTCCTTCACACACTAATAATACATATGTTTAAGAGCACCAAACAAAAGCCTTCCCTGGAGCCAATGTTCGACTGTGCCAAATCTGCTCTAACCTCTACCCTTGGGTCAAGGGCACTGTAGCCAGGTGTCTTATTCCTTTGTAATGGAGGGCATCTCTCTAGTCCATGGTCACAGACTGCACCCCCTACTCCCAACAAAGCATTCGGTCATCAGCCCTGCCCTGCCCCTCCCCAGGCATCCAGACCAGGCCAGGGGTTTTCAGGGGTCTCTGTCACAACAGATGTACCTACAGCTGGTGCAGCTGCCACAGGACGAGGACCTCCAGACCCAGATGTCCACCGGGACACACGGCATCCTCTAACTCCTGTGGGACTGGCTGCCCAGCTGGCAGCAAGGCTCACGTCTGTGCTCCTTCCACCCCAATCTGCATTCTCTTAGCCTCTCTTTGTTTCCGTGTTACCATCTATAAAGTAGTGGTAACAGTATCTCTCTCCGCCTGTGGCCTTGGTGATGAAGAAGCTGGCACATGCCAGGCCTGGCTGAGAGCAAGTGCTCAGTCCGTGTTATAACAAGTGGCCTCTAGAGCCAGAGCCCGCCCCAAACCCTGAGCAGCATGTCTGTGACATTGCCCGCCTGCCCAGCTCTCACAGGCCCCAGCCACTCAAGGGCTGGGCCCACCCCGGTACATGCGGCAACTGCCTACATCTCTCTCCCGAAGAGACAGAGTCAATACAACTGGCCTCTTCCAAGGCCAAGAATGGCCACTGCCCAGAATCCCCCACTGCTGTGCCCACCTACGTGACAGGTCACCCAGAGTCTTGGTTCTGGGCTGAACTGTATTAGTTCACAACCTTGGGAACTTCCTGGGGTAGAATCTAAAACTGGCCCGTATACACAGAGGGCATGGAGAGACAGAAGAAAGAGGCAGGCCACTCCAGATTGGTAGGTGGCCAGTGTAATAAGCAGAGGAACTTCTATACAAGGCTGGGCTGTGGTGGCTGCAAGAACTCCACACCTGCCTACCAAATCTTAAAAGTTTATACAAAGGCCTTAACTAGGTTAAGTCACATATTCAGTCCAGAGGGTCTCAATGACACCCTATTCTCAAGTCTATGTCCCAGAAACAGCTCCTAGTGGGGAATGGTAGGCCAATTGTACATTCTAAGGACAGGGGAAGGGGTGAGGAGCTCTGACTGCCTAGGTTCAGCTTGTGGGTCAACCAGCAATCACATCCTCTCCAAGACCTCCTCCAACAACCTACCCCAGAATTGTCACACGCTTTCGGCTAATGACAACAATAACAGTAATCATTAATACTTCACAGTGTTTACACGTTAAGCCATGTTACCTATACAAAATCATTTGATCCTGAGAACAATCCTATGAGGGAGATACTATTATTCTTCCTATTTCACTGATAAGGAAACTGAGTCACAAACAAGGTAAGCAATTCACCAAATGCTCCCTAGCCAAAGAGAAGCAGGAATTCAAACCCTGTAACAGTAGGGTTGGGCTCCAGGGTCTTTGCTCTTAACCATCATGCTCCCCTGGAGGCGGGGGGAGCACAGCCCTCAGCAAGGAAAAGCCCCCTGGCCCTACCACACTCAGACTCACTGTCCTGCCCCACACCAGCCCCCCCCCACCCCCTGCACAATTCCACCTGCTCAGGGAAAGATGTGGGGACCCCAGGCTCCAAGCTAAGTGAATAAACAAGCCTTGTGTGAAAGTGCCTCTGCTTGTTAACCTGCCCCCAGCCACAGAAGAAAAATAAACAGGGCATATGTTCCTGAAACTGCAAATGCCATCTGAGAGGGCCTTCAAGTCAAGGCCCTGCAGCCTCTTAACAGGCAGATTTTTATCTGCTCACGATCAGTGTGCAAATCTCACATGCCTTACCTCACAGAGGACACCTCTTCTATGCTTCCCTCATCTTGTGTATGCAATTTACACACAAACAAACTGGGTGAAAGATACATTCTCCCCAGGGTGTGCCTAATACTGTCATTTTACCAACCAGAGTTTGCCCTTCCAGTTGGTTTCCACAATGGGGCTCCGCTGCCCCCTGGTGGCACAGCCTCATTCTCTGGCTCTCTCTGACCTGACCACGTAAGAACCATGTCAGTCAGTATTATCATTTTAGGTGACATTTATTCATTCACTCACACAAACGTTGCTTACAAGGTCTTCCAGTTGGCTTTCCTCCTCCCACTCTTGGGAGTGCAGTCCCTTCCTTCTTGGCCCCCCTGAAAGAATTCTTTCACTACTAGCTTTAGCTTCCTGGTTAACTGCTCCCCTTTGAGACACATTTCTCTCAAAGAAGGTAAGTGCCCCATAAGACCTTCTGTAACCGCAGAAACCTCTCGGCTGCTTTTACTTGTCCTGCAGCTTACTAAACATTTTGCCATTTCTACACCGACTTTCCTATGCATCTTCCCAGATCGTACAGAAATGTTTCAATTTGCCTTCTGAGTTTCCTGGTTTTAGCAAGTGCTACCATTTTGAAAGGAATGAAAAAAGAGGGGTAAGACAAAGATGCAACCAGAGTCCCTACAGGATGAAACCTGGAGGGCCTGAACCCACACTGCACTTGGTCACCCCCACCCTCTGGCCCCCAACTCTACTGAGGAACTTAGGACAGTTCAACCCCTCAACCACCAGCAGGCATCAGAATCACCTGAAGGCCCATTAAATCCCATTGCTGGGCCCCACCCCCAAAATGTCTGAATCAGATCTGAGGTGGGGCCCAAGAATCCGCATTTCTAACAAGTTCCCAGGTGTTCCTCCTCCTGCTGCTAATCCAAAGACCACACTTTGGGAACCACGGAGCTAGAAGATCAGCTGCCATCACTAACCACCTATCTTTCACACAATCATTTTAAACATAATTTTCAAACACAATCTTCAAATACTTCATGACAGAAGAATGATCCTATGTAACCCAAACTGAGGTATGAGAAACCATATGCCAAACATGTATCTGCCTGGAATATCCACTTCACTTGAAGACTTATGGAGAAAAAAAAGTTAAATAATTTAACTGGCAATTTTAAAACTGTACATTGTTGTTATAATGCAGAAGTACACTTTTGAGTACAAGAATAACTTCAGGGGATTTTTTAAGACAGAATACGAGATTTTTAAGAACCCTGCTATTTTTCCAGGGGGCATCTGACATGCTCGCCTTTGGAAATATGCAACACTGCTGCTGGCCCTGCACTTTGAGCCCATTTCCAGGCATGTGTATGTGTACATGTGTGCGTGTGCATGTGCTGTGTTTTATGTGTACATGAGTTGTACTGCGTGTGCATGTACATGTGGACATATGTATTAATATTCTCACCTCCATCAAGATTGTTTTGGTGACAGGAGGTAGGAATGTCCCTTGAGAAACACAGGCTTTAGGTATTATCAATTACTAAATTTTTATTAACTTCATGAACATGTTCCATGAGGCTAGCTATAGAATGAAAACAAAAATTCAAAGTAGGAGGGAAAATGAGATGGGAATGACATAGATAGCTTGATGGGAGCTTCAGACAAAGCTGTAGGGAAGCTGGGTCCTGGACAGAAACAGGCACTTGGACCCAAAAACACACTGTTACCTTGAAACTCTCTCTACCTGCACTCTGTTGGCTCATCTAGGCCCCCCTGAACAATTCCCAGGCGATGGCAGTTACTTCATAAGCAGTTTGTGACAATAAAGAAGAACATGATATTTTCCAACCAACAGCATAGATAGTATCTCTTTCTACTTTTCTAAGTACGACCACCAGAATCCACTTTTGTCTTTCCCTGGGACTTCCTGGCAGTGGATACCCACCCCTAAGTTCCTTTCTGTGCCCAGTTACTAATCCTGGTTGCCAGCACCCACTGAAGAGTCAGGGTGGGGGGATCCTAGAGCCAACATGCCCCAGAGACAGGCTGATCTGTATTTCAAATACTTATTTCTCCTAAGTATTTCATTTGTTACCTAAGAAGTCACAACAGAAACGTGTCTTAAATTTGTGGGCACCCCAGAATGAAAAGCCTCAGGAGTCTCACGGATGGCCATGGCCAACAAGGACGGAGTACCAATCCAGTCCCCCCACGGGCTCTACCTGGGTGATGAACTCTGGGAAGCTGAGGATGGGCCCGTTGTGGAAGACAGGGTAATAGAAGACGTAGGCCGCCAGCCAGGGAAAGGAGTAGAAGCTGTTCTCAGTCTCCTGCCAGCAGAACTCGAGGCTGAAGCTGGTGTAGTACAGGCAACGCACGGTCAGCGTGAACTGCAGCAAGTAGTACTCGTTCTCCGTCTGGTACCACCCTCTCTGCAAAGTCACAAGAAGAGGACAACTCTGGAGTGTCAAGGAGGGATGCCACCCGGTCCCCTGGGAAGGAGACTGCTTCCACAGAGAGAGCAGCTGTACCATACAGGGGGTTTCTCCACCACTGGGAAGCAGGTAGATCTCAGTGGGAATGGAAACCAGGAGTTAATGAGCAGTGGGCGGAAGAGCGTCTCCAACACCGCTCATCTACTTAGCGTTAGGCCTCGTGCGCGGTGATGAGAGTTTGCCCAGATATGCATCAGATTCATCCAGTGGGGGACATGGAGATGAGCTACAGCCAGTGGATACTTGGACAGTTCTTCCAACAATACTGAAGGCAAAGAGAGGCTTATAAATGTCACATGGGATTCCTGTGTTCAACAGATTTTTCCTTTTGCTCTTCTGTTAATCTGGCTCCACGTGTAGTTGAGAACTATTTGCCAAATAAGCTTTAGAAACACAGTCAAGAAAAATAGTCCTTGCCCTCGAGGTGTCTAAATTCCCACACAGCAGATAGGCATGTAAGTATATAATTACAATGCAGCACGAGATAAGACATAACAAGCATGTACTAAAAGATGTATGAAATAAAAGACAAGAAGCAAATGCGGTACAATCTTAACAGTACTAGGTGGAGTAAAATTTGGATCATTTTATAATCTTTATGTTTTTATATTTGCCATTATATATATTGCCTTTTTAATGAGAAGAACAAGTTATGAGAATACAGACAAGATATAATGGGGGACAAAGAAAGGAATAGTTAATGTGATCCATGGGAGGACTTTTACAACTTTACACAGAAAAACCAACCAGTTTTGGAAAAACCAAACCAGTGAAGAGTTTCTATTGCATGTCTGAGCCTTCAGCAGCCACTGAGAAAGACTAGGAGAACTGCAAGTGCAAGCATGGAAACCCAGGGCTCCTGAGTGGCTCGGTGGGTTAAGCAGTTAAGCGTCCGACTTTGGCTCAGGTCATGATCGGCTCAGGTTCACGGGTTTGAGCCCCGCCTCAGGCTCTGTGCTGACAGCTCAGAGCCTGGAGCCTGCTTCCGATTCTGTGTCTCTCTCTCTCTGCCCCTCCCCTGCTCGTTCTCTGTGTCTCTCTCTCAAAATTAAACATTAAAAAAATTTTTTTTTTAATAAAAAAGCATGGAAACCCAAAGCAAGTAGCTTCTGCTCATTTCTTTCCCTTGGGCAGTATTTTTCAAACCTCTAGTCTGCATAATAAATAGAATGTTTAGTCACTACCAACATCCATAACTGATGCTAACCATTGCCACACAAATGATAATTATGATTAGAGTCTGTTTTGTACATTTGCCAGGTCCCCAAAAAGTTAGGTGTGAATTATTTTTATTGCAGATCTATTTTTAAACCCATGTATTTAAATGATCACCTAGTTAATCATTGTGGGAAGTCTCTTTTGTTAAGATGGAGACACTACCCTTTCTCTCACAAGTCCAGATTTTGACATATGTGCTTAAAGTGTTAGCCCCAATCCGTTGGTGAGAAAAATTAAAATAGCATAACAGGAAATGCCACTGAATTTTCAAAATGCTACAGTTTTTACAAAATCACTCAACATATATCATGTTATCAGATGCTCAGAGAAACTCCACGTGGAAGATAGAGCACATACTACTTCCACTTTGAAAATGATGAAATTGAGACTCAGGTTAAATGACTGCCTCCAGTTTCAAGAGTAGGAAACACAGCTACTAGAAGAGACACGGAACCAAGTCATCCACTGGCTCATCTTTCCTGCAACTGTGCCGACCCACAGTGCGTAAGTGCTATCACCTAAGCCAATGGATGAATGATCGTGTGAACAAGAGTAAGGATACCACGATACCACAAGACTTTCAGTGCCTCAATGACTAAAGAAAGAATATCAAAACTTCCCAAGGTTTTCTGTGCAAGGAAAATACCTTCCTTATCTGTTGCAGGGACTATCATGGGTACTGCATGAGATGAGGCATGTGGAAGTTCCCCATAAATTGTAGAGCACTCTACAGATGATTTTTTTGTTAAATGCATAGAAGACTATTGCTTTCTTTTCCTGTTGCTCCTTACCCTCTGTTCCTATGACATCTGGCACCATCCATGCCTACCCACACTGGGAAAAGAGGTAGAAGGTCAGCCCTGGGCAACCTTAGAGGGCTAAGACAGGGTCAGACACAAAAGACAAGATTCCAGAAGGCAACACACCAGGATTCACATGCATCAACCCCATATGGTCACTAGAGGGACCCCCACCATGATTCTTCAATTGACTCTTGGCTGAAAGCAAAGGCATCTACCCAATGGGAGCACTTCTAAAGGGGCCTTCTCCTTCTCAAGGGTAAAACAGAGACACTTACCTTAACTTCCTCCACATCTTGCAGCCTCAGTGTGGTGAGCAGGAAGAGAGAACAGAGCCATGACAGGAGCTGCGACTGGAACTGGGCCACGCAGAAGGAGATGAGGGTGTGGAGAAAAATTATGGCCGTGCCTTGGGCCCCCAGAACACACCAGGAGGCCCACATTCCATAAGCCCCCAGGATCCAGGGTCTGTGCTGCAGACAGGGAGGGACACAGTGAGAGACACACAGAGGGAGAGGGCACAGAGGAAAAGAGAAAAGAGTGAGTGAATGGGTATTGCTATTAAAGGTTCTACATAGATGCATAATGCTTACTGATCCATTAACCAAACTATTCTCACTGCCCTGGGGATTTAGTGAAACCCAAACAGGTTTCAGAAGGACCTTCCACATTAGCCCTAAAGTGACGGCTGCCTACCCTAGAACTCCACCAGATCCACCCAGAAGGAGCCACTTTCCTGCCTTCAGCCAAAGCCACCCAGACCACTGGATCCTACAACAAGATATTGAGCCGACTTTTCAAAAGACACTATGGAAGCCAGAAGCCCGTTGGGAAAACCACCAGCCCGGAACCCTGCGTACACCATCCTGCAAATGTGAAGGTAAAAGAAAGTATTTGTACACATTTCTCAGGTGTTTGATTGAGACAGATGAGCCAACCAAACCACAAACGGCTTTCTAAGGTCCAAACCAGATTTCTACATTGAAATATCTCAGTGTATTTTTACTAACGTATTGTTTACTGTTTACAGAAAAAGTATATCTTACCTGCTTTATACAATATTGAGGCCTTTGTATAGTCAATCTGATTGGCATGTTCATTCGCATTTTAGGAGAATCAGAATGTCGTTCTATCCAATTATAAAGTTTTATAATTACTGACAGTAAATAACTAAATGAATATGCCTTTGCTTTTATGACATATTCTTGGCCATATCTGGCTGATAAATCCTTACTTAAAACCACAATACTGTTTTAACATTGTTAGAGAGGCAACATATTATAGGGGTTTCATTACTCAAGCTTTGAAGTCCAACTGTCCAAATAAATCCTGGTATCCCCATTAACTACCTGTGTGACCCCAGGCAAGTGACTTCATCTCTCCATGCCTCAGTTTTTTCATATGTACAATTAGGATAAGGGCATGTACTTCATGAGGATTAACTTAATGCATGTAAAACGCTTTCCACAGTGTCTGCATACATAGTAAGAACATGACCAATACTAGTTGTCTAGTCCTAGAGGGGAATACAACGGGTCTTTCTGGTGTACATTTAAAAATATGGTTTCCAGGAATACACCACATTGAAAAGTTGGGAATGCTTGAAATAGGTCTCCTTGTGAAAACATGAAGAATTCTTTAAAACAAAGACGGATGTGGACCACAAACTGTAAATCTCATCCTTACATGCTAACTCTTCCAAAATATTGCCAAAGTACCATCCCTTCCCAAACCTATGCTCCAGCCCAAGAGAGAACATTTTGAATGAGCAACTAGGTCAGCCACTTTTAAGTTCCAAGAAAATCAGAGAAAACTGCAGTTCAGTTTTACTATTTTTCCATCCTACTGCCCACAGAAAACAGCTACATAAATTTGCTTCAGATTTTCCCCCAAATACTCACCTTTGGGCAGAGTCCATTTATAAGAAACAAGGTCGCCAAAGACCATTTTAGGAAGTTTTAACAAATGAGAAAAAAAAAAAAAAAAAAAAAAAAAAAAAAAAAAAAAAGGTTTTTCCAACATAATCCACAGCATTTACTACCAGGAATCCTTTTCCACGCACACATGGCAACATACATACACACAGCTACACTTTTATTAAGCGTTATTTGACCCATTTGGAAGAAGCCTGTTTGTTTGGCTTTCATTTGGGAACTTAACCAAAGACTAAGGGGCTTCAATTTGGAAAAAGCTGAAGGAGATTCTCTGGTGAATTTAACTGTGCCCACCAAAGCTACCGTACAGGCCCACGTTTGTCCCCAATTCACACCCCCCACTGTCTTCCTCTTGCCATCTAGGACAGGCAGACCACATTTAATACCATTCTAAGGAAGCACAGAAAACACTCTCACGTTGCCTTCATGTTCTCCACTAGCCCTCATATTATCTACTCATTCTCCCCAGTGGGTCGAGGCATCCATGGCAGACAGGTGATGTAAAGAAAAAGATAAAAATAATACCTACTTTTTAAAAACTTATATAAATTAGGGGGTGCCTGGGTGGCTCAGTAAGTTGGGCATCCAACTCTTTTTTTTAATTTTTTTTAATGTTTATTCTTGTTTTTGAGGAAGAGAGAGACAGACAGACAGAACACAATCAGGACAGGGGCAGAGAGAGACGGAAACACAGAATCTGGAGCAGGCTCCAGGCTCTGAGCTGTCAGAACAGAGCCCGACACAGGGTTCAAACTCACGAACTGTGAGATCATGACCTGGGATAAAGTCGGACACTTAACCAACTGAGCCACCCAGGCACCCCAGTTAAGGATCCAACTCTTGATTTTGGCTCAGGTCATGATCCCAGGGTTGTGGCAGCTGGAGAGGGGCTAGAAATGGAAGAGTGACCCTGCCCACCCATACAAGCTGCATCTGGATGGCCTGAGGAAGGGGTCTTTCCCCAAGTGCTTCAAAGACCATTTTCATATGCAAAGGCCTAGGGAGGCCTGTTTCACCGATATCTACTCCAAAAGTGCTTCTGTATTTATCAAACTTTTGTCTACCTCTTTAGTGAAAATGCTTAAGTAGCAGGTATTAAGCTTCTGACACCAAATATGCTGGAAACTACCTAACGTTTCAAAAATCAAAAATAAAATGGGTTATGTTTTATTCAAAAACAAGACTTCTCATTCCTTGCCAGAAGGACTTTAAGACTTTTTCCCCCAAGCTTTCGGGGCAACCTGGGCAGATACACAGTTTTGATCACACACATAATCTATGTCAAGCTCAAGTTTTAAAAAATCCACCTAAGAGTCAACAAAATCCCAGTTTGTTTAAATTAAGTAATGATTATGACTGGAAATTATGGGCCACTTGAGAAGAAGGCACAAAGAATCATTTTGATCAAGTAAAGTACACAAAACATGAGCTTAATTTAAAGCTGGGCTGTGATGTTTCTAAGTTAGAAATTTAAATTCTAATTCTATACAATGCTTTTGAGATTTTTGAGATAGTTGTAGATTCACCTGCAGTTATAAGAAATAATACAAAGAGATCCCCCCTCCTACACTTCACCCAGTTTTTCCCAATGGTAATATTTTGCAAAACCATAGCATATCCAGCGAGGATACTGACGTTGCTACAATCCACCAAATTTATCCAGGTTTCCCCAGTTTTGCTTGTACTCCTTTGTATGTGTGTGTGTTTAGTTCCATATAATTTTATCACAGGTATAGGTTCAGTCTCCACCACAGTAAAGATATGTAACATCTTATCTTTACAGATGGAGGTAAATAGTTCTATCACCATAAGGATCTCTTGTGTTGCCCTTTTGCAACTACCTCCTTCCCACTCCCTTTATCCCACATCCTTAACCCCTGGAAACCACCACCATCTTCCCCATTTCTAAAATTTTACTTGAAGAATTGTATGCAACCTTTGGGATTGGCTTTTTTCACTCAGTGTAATTCCCTGGAGACTCATCAAGTTGCTGAGGGTATTTCAAGTTTGCTCCTTTTTACTGCTGTGTAGTATTCCATGTTACGGATGTCTCACCACTTATTTAACCATTCACCTGTAAAAGAACATCTGGGTTTCCAGTTTTTTGTTATTCTGAACAAAAGTGATATAAACATATGTGTACAGTTTTTTGTGTAAAAATAAGTTTTTATTTCTCTGGGATAAATGCCCAAGAGTGCATTGTTTGGGTTGCATGGTAGTTGCATGTTTAGTTCTAGAAGAATCTGCTAAACAGCATTTCCACCAGGAAGGTATGAGTGCTCCATTTTATTCCCGTCCTCACCAGCATCTGGCACTGTCACTACGTTTCATCTGAGCCAGTCTGCCAAGTGTGCAGTGGTATCTCACTGTGGCTTTAATTTGCATTCACAAATCTCTTTCAAAAAGCATCAAAGTGTGAGCAACCTGAAGCTCGAGAGTAAGACAGGCTGGGCAAACTTTGTTGAGGTATAGGACTTTCCTGACCCCCTTCACTCACCTTATTCCAGGCTCTTCAGTTTCTAACAGAAGATGAAAAGGCAGGTGAGGGAAGAGAAGAAACTTTTAAAAGTCTAGCAAACAATCAGAAAGAAACTACATTTCTGTGACAGTTGACAAAAAGGCAAACTGAGAATGCAGTAGCCTTCCTCATGGGACACAGTGCTTCCCGCCCCAGACTGAAGTAGGTCGGCCACCTGCCCTCTGCTCCCACTGCTCCCTGTGTCTATGCTGAACTATTTCTCAAGATGGCCCATTATGGACTCTCTGCTTGATAGTCCCCCTTCACAGGCTAATATCCTGCCTGGTTCAAATTACAGTAATATAAGCCCAGAATCTAACATGGTGCCTAGCATATAGCAAGCACTCCATAAATGCGGGATAAATGAATGAATGGTGGAACAGTTGGGTGGGTACATGAGTAGATATGGTCGATGGATATGCTTCCCCAAGTCTTTGGACTTAACCTAGTAGTTACGACTAACAAGTAACAAGAAGTTAGCACCAAAATTTGGGGCTGTTTAGTCCACTAACATGAAAATCTGCTGTTTTCCAAGGTCCCTACTTATACCGCTTAACCCCTTATAAACAAAGGCTGCTTTGCCAGTGCAGATGGAACGGAGGGAGTCACCTGACATCTCCCTGCCTACTGTCTGTTTTCCATCACAGGGGTCTCTTACAACTCTACCTGTGCTGGGGGAAATCTCAAATAGTTTACAACCGATAGGGCACAGGCACCAAGCTATGAAAGCAGACATCTGTGATAGAATCTGTTGCCCATCACCCCACCCACTGGGGTGGGGGGGTTGTTCAGAGAGACTAACCCTAAACTGGTGTGTTTCCAAGACTGAAATCACCACCCCTGAGGAAAAACTATGCACTCGCCCTCCTTTTCTTCAAATCTTCTTCACTGGGAGTCAAGACCCAGCCACAAGAAGAGCTGACTGGCAATGCCCCCTCTTACAGCATCCTTACTTTTCTCCCACTTCAGCTTGTTCTGTGCTGCAGGCACCGAATGATAAAAGGATGTGCCTGTGTGGTTC